TTTAATTTTTCTTGTTACAATAATGCCATCATGAAGATGTAAATGCATATAATTGTCCCATGTCTTGAATTTTCTTGACCAGCAGAGTAGTTATTGGGTAAGGTGTATTGACAATTAATGAGAATTACTTAATATGTCATTTTGTTTAAGTAAATCTCTATTAGACTATTAACTATACCTCAATTTCATAGATTTAGAGAGTCATAAATCCTATTGTTTACTATTTATATTCACATTTTTTCCTTATCAGTGAAAACGAATGACATTGATTTTCTCTGTATTTTATTTAGTTTCACAAATTCAGTTTTTCTTACATACACAGGAGTATACAAACTTACTGGTTCTAAAAATGTTCTCAATAATGTGTGTTAAAAGTTTTAAGCGGATTGTTTTGGAGTGTAGTAAAAGCATGTGCTACATTTAGTTTAGAGAGGAATTTTTGAAAAATAATTTTTTGGGACATGAGAAAAAGGGTAAACTTTAGGTTTCTTTGTACAAATGCAATCCCAAAGTAAAATGACTTCCTGTTGTATGTTATGTGATTGGGATAAGGACAGATGATAATCAGATTGGGGCATTTCATGTAAAAATGGTGCAAAATGATAGCAATGTGGGATTTAGGTGAATTACTCTTCTAGTTAAGGCTTAATTAGTCAGCAAATAGGAAAAAAGCCTTAGAATGGTCTATTAAATGTTTCATTGTTTTAATTTAGTAAAATGTTCATCTTGCTAAATAAATAAATACTTGTATAGAAAAAAATTAAGAAAACTCATGCCAGATAGAAAGATCTCTTTATATTCTTAGCACAGAAATAGTAAGAACATGAAGTGAGGGAGATGATGGACATAAAATTTATGAGTAAGAGTTGGATTTCATAGACTGTTCGAACCGAAAGGCACCTTAAAGATCCTTAAGCTCAGTGATTTCTGGAGGTTTGGATTTTATGGAACAAAAGAAAACAAAATTGGGGGGGGACTGAAAGGGTGTAGGCTAACTTAATTACCAATTTTATTTTGTAGATCTTTCCTATTTCTGCAACGTATATATTTGTTATAACATATTTAGTTTTTCGATAGTGCAATGTTACAAATAAAGTCAGCTAGAACACAAATATAATTTATAAAAAGTTGAGTTCATATAATCTTATGAAAAGCTAAGAACATTGTCATTCTGATTTTAATGGGCCAAAATCCAAATTTCATCCTGGATTAGGAACAGTGCTTGAATAATCACTGAACTAAACCACACAGTTTTCCGGTTGGAGAAGAGGTTAGCAAACAGGCCTGGAGAAGCTGATGGAATCAGATGAGCTCAGATGGCTCATCAGAGGCCAACACGAGCTCAGTGTTCTCACTTTCTGGTCCACAGCGTGACTTCTGTGGTCAGGAATTTGAAGTTTTTCTCTGTCTGCATTCTCTTTGATTGGCGGGTTAAATTGTAGACAAAACACAAGAATGGATGGGGAAAGAGGATTAGTTATTCATTAGTTACCCGCTGAAATAATAAAAAATTGTTAAGATGACCAACATGTGTGATGGAGCAAATATAGCTCCTAGAACTTTGTCCCCAAGGTAGGAAAAGAACAAATACTTACCCTCTGAAGTCATGGCACTTAATTAGGTTGTTTATGTGCGGTGGTTCCTTGAAGCAAGCGACAGCAGTCTATGTGCAGTGTTTATTTTATTGCCACAGATATGGGAAACAAGCCTCTGCAAACCACTTTCAGGAAAGCGCAGGTCCCATATGGTTGGATGACGTCAGCTGCTCAGGAAAGGAAACCAGTTTCCTTCAGTGTTCCAGGAAGCAGTGGGGAAGGCACGACTGCAGCCATCGCGAAGATGTTGGTGTCGCCTGCTACCCCAGCAGCGACGGACACAGACTTTCTCTGGGTGAGGACTGGCTGCAGCTCTCAAGTATCCGTAATTCAGTAGCCACTGCACCTCCACCCGCTGCTCCAGAATGTGAAATGGCATTATTTTTTTGGTCTATTTCCCATAACTGTCTAATTTTCAGTAATTTTTATGCAGAGAAAAACAATCTTTTGAGTCCTTCCACCAACTATGAAATTTTTACCCCTAAATTTGGTTTTCTTTACTTAGAAGCCTAAGTTTCTAAAATGTTTATGATCATGGCCGAGCGTGGTGACTCACGCCTGTTATCCTAGCACTCTGGGAGGCCGAGGCAGGCAGATCGTTTGAGCT